ATATATATATACATACCTTGAAATCTAGACTTTCTGGAAATAAAAAAAAGGTCGACATATATTCAAGAGCTTTGAACATAGGAAACCATACTACATAATCTGTTTCTCGTTGTAGATAATCCGAGAGTTCAAAAAATACGGACAATTCAAGTTGTCCTCTTATCAGAAAATAAAAAGCATCATCGATCATTTGAGCACGATTAAGAACATGTATTTTTTCGTAGTTGTTAATGTAATGCAAATAATTTGCAATGTTTCGCCAATTGTCAACTTCATAATTAACTCGGTAATACCCTGTTATATAAATAAAAAATATTTTGAAAAGTAAATATAAATATAATAAATTTTGTTAAAAATATTACCGGCTTGTTCTACATTGATTATTATCCAATGAAAATTGAAATCTAATATAAGATCAGCATACGGTTTAATGCCTTTATGGGTTGGCCTTAGCCATATAATATCAGAATTTTGGATTATTTCAGAATTGAGTTGCCATGTAATTTTTGTCACAGGTATCCATGGCAATTCTTCTTCCCATGTACTATAATTTTCCACTGAAATCATCGCTGAGTCAGAATTTGTTTTTGTCACAGGATAATGTTGTGGCGAATAAATCCAATGATTTATCATCTCTGTTACATCAAACCTACCCGGTAAACAATTTTTCGTATATTTATAACTATATACAGAATGTTTTAAAACGAACTATCATAGACAGATAGAGTGGATTAACAGTCGAAAAGTCCTGTATCATTTTGCAATTTTTGCAACAGTTAACAAGATATTAATTTCTGAAACATCGCACAGTTTGTGTAGCACAGTTTATTACCAAATACATGTATGCGATGAGACTGTAGAATCACCGTTGCTAGATATGCAGAGAGTTATTTATTTAATTTATTACAAGGTAACAAGTGGCCTTGGCAATGCATAAGCGACGAAAAAAAACACATACTTGCGCTGAATGACCGTATCATCAATGGCCGCGCACTTGTATTTGGCGGTAGACCAAACAAATGCGTCCTTATTTGGCGACTTTTAGAAATTAATAACCCCATTAATTATATGCAATAATTGCAAAATGGCACAAGACTTTTCAATTCAATTTAGTCGACCTGCTCTTGAGAGATGATGCGGTCATTCTCGGATTGTATAAATATACATAATTATACAAAATTATATATAAAATATAATTAGACTTAGAATGTTAGAAAATTCGCCTGCACTACTTCTGGAAATGATTTGGGGCTCAAAAGGAAGGACCCAAAAGCTGTATGAAGGTAAACATAAGTTAAAAAATAAGCTATTTCCGATCCACTTTTATGTTAAAAAAATCGTTAGTTATTTTTCATAATTATAATCATAATAATCATAATTTCAAAGATACCAGAAGATTTGCGGGTTAGCGTCATGTTTTTATTTAATATGTATAAACATGTATAAAAATGTGTAGAAA